TTTGACAGCACTAATATATATATATATATATATATATATATATATATATATAGCTGATTTGTATATTCATTTTTCTGTTTAGTGAAGGCATTACAACAGATTTTGTACAGTCCCACTGCTAAGAGTTTTGAATGAGAGCTGAAACGTCCTGCATCAACAGAAAAACCAATTACTGCAGATGTCAACTGAATTCTATCAGACATTCAACAATCACCTGAGTGAATGAAAAACTGCACAGACGTTTCACCGTGTTGTGTTAAAAAGTTTGGGTGGTTAGAGCAAGCTTTAAATTATGTTGTTCAAGCTGTGATCCTGAAATAAACAGTAGAGACAGTTTCTCTGAAGTTCCTCTCTCATGAGCACAAGTTCATCTTTGATGCTGAGAGACAAACTATGTTTTGAATGCAAAGAGAATGGGGTTAAAGACAAGCTACAATGCTCTCTCACACACACACACACACACACACACACACACTGCATAGACATATGCCTTGTTTAGTCAAGCATAATCTCTTGTCAGTGCTTCCTAGCATGTAGAGTGTAACGCATTCTGTCTTAGACTATCAGTAAAGAATGTAGTTCCTCTGTCCTGTGGCTTATACACTGAGAATGTACTAAAGTCAATATGTTATGACAGAAATGGAGGCAGAGAAGATAAATGTAGACATGGCAAGAAACAGTGTACAGTAAATATCTTAATCATTCCTAAACAGTAGGTGTACTGAAACATTGATTTATAACAATGTACAACTAAGAAGGGAAAGTTTGCCACGATTTTCTCTAAAGGTACTAGAAAGAAAGGAAAAGAAGTGTTTAAAGTGTTAAAAATGTAAAAGTTTGGAGTTTGCATTTCTATTCTGAAAAAAAAAAAAAATGTATCCACAAAAATATTAAGCAACACCACTGTTTTCAGTGTTGCTTATAATAATAAACATTTCTTGAGCAGCAAATCAGCATATTAGAATGATTTCTGAAGGATCATGTGACACTGAAGACTGGAGTATAGAGGCTGAAAATCAGCGTTGCATCACAGGAATAAAATACATTTTAAAATGTATTCCAATTTAAAACAACTATTTTAAATTGTAATAATATTTCACAATATATTGTTTCATTTTTAAGTTTAATATTAAAATAACCACAACAAGTGAAGCACTTTTGCACTTCTTTGGGATAAAAACAACAGGGCTTCATGATCACTAGTATAATCAGTTAGAAAATACATGACAATCTGAATCAGAACAGGCTGAAAGTGTGAACAGAGTTTGCTGGATGTGAATCGAAAGGAACTCAACTTCATTGATATCTACAATATTTAACCATATACAGCCAATGAATAGTCTCCAAATACACAACTTTACACTTTGCTGAATGGTTACCTTTCTATATTTGTGTACTCCTGCTTGGGGTTCAGTAATTCGATTTGGAAAATTTGAACCTGCCATTTCAAAACCAAAGGCTGTAGGAACATATCAGAGCTATAGATTTAAAGATCAAAGCAATGGTGGGAAAAATTAGTTCAAAACAATGGCTGGCCCCTGAGAAATTACAATGAAAAAAAAAATGGAAGTGATAATGAACAAAAGATACAGAGACAACCACCAAAATAATTCAACTCCCTGGGGTGAAGAGGATCATTATTCACAGAGCACACAAACAAACTAAAAATGGTGTCAAAGAGATACAACATCTATTAAAACGGGCGCAGGGAAACTTCAGCATCCATTAAAACTTGTCCAGTTCTGTGTCTCTATAATTGTGTGAAATACTTTACTATAATTCTGAAGCTATTAAAGCGGACACATACCATAAGCTAATGTACTGTACTGTAGGGCTGCACGATAAATCGAAAAGGAATCGAAATCGCGATTCGACAGAAGCTGCAATTGTCATGCATATCTTTCAGTGAAGCACGGTTCTGTGATCAGCAGTAAATCTCCATCCAAAGGCCAGAGGGCGCTCTCGCGCTGAAACTCCAAATACGCCTCGCAGAAGAAACCCAGGAAATGCCTGGATAAACAGCTTTACTAACAAAATGCGCATGACAATCGCATTCGATTAATCGTGCAGCCCTACTGTACTGTAAATATTAAGAAACCATATTCTAAGAGAAATGTTGTAAGAGACGGAGGGAGAAAGAGAGCGAGAGAGAACAAAGGGGATTATTCTCAGGAATTGTATTTATCTACAGAGTATTATGTATGCATATTTTATATAATTATTCACACATAACATTTATTTAGCTAATATTATGTATAGTATTGATACATTTGATCAAACATGTGAAATGTGATAAACAAGACAAATTTATAAAAAAAAATAATATACATATAAAAAAATAATTTAGAGAAAATATATAAATAAATATATATTTTTTTTGTTTAGTTATATTAACATACTATTAGATATTAGAATTATTAGCATTAATATGATCATAGAAATGTGGCACAATGTGACATTCACAGCTACTAAGATAACTGTGGTTTAAATATTCAATTATGATAAATAATTTTGGACCAATGAGATTTTACTATGGGTGGGGCTACCCAGTTTGACGCCACATAAATGGAAATAAAGCAACCGACTAAACGCCCTATCTTTTCACAGGTAGCTAGGACAAAAACACAGATTTACATCTCACAAATATATTTTAGTGCTTGAGAGACCTGCATTTATCCATATAACTATTAAAACATCCCTTTCATTATTCTGGTATAGCCTAGCAGTTAAAGATCCGGGCTGGAAATCAAAGCCAGCTAAGGCCGATTCTTCAGCCAGCCTGCCCTTGATCAAGGCACTTAACCTGAGGCGACTCCAGAGGGACCGTCCCTGTGTCTTAACATGACATTGCTCTATGGCGATGTTGCATGAAAGAACAAAGCGAGCTCAACTGGCCCCAGTTGTGTGGTGATAAATAATGAGCCTCAGTTTTATTCCCCTGGGCTCCAGAGTGCCTTTACGGTCTCTTTCTCTCCCAGCTATCCTAGACATCACAAAACCCAAAACAGATCTAGGCAAAACCATCATAATGAAGCACAAAGAGATGAATGCTGCAATCATCAGCCACTGATAGATGACGGGAATAGAGCTCACTTTAGATGGCAGCCACTGCTCTTTAACAAAATATCATAACATTTGATATAAACTTGGCACTAGCTGTAACCATTTTATGGCACATCTAGTCTCTTTAAAAGGTTTCAACGCTTCAAAAACGATTACGGCTTCAACTGGGAAGAAATTTCAAATCTTTCCTCAGTAAAAGCGCTAATACATCAAAACACTAAAATACGTTTGAACAGCTATTTAGACTGAAGCACTCAATAACTGTGATGTTTAAGCTAACTGGATCCAAAAACAACAGGGAAAGACAGGAAAGCGTCCAATTCACTCATTCATCCACTTGCTTATGTTATATCTGTTAGCACATATCAAAATCTGAAACTGACACACTTGACATTTCATACTGCTCAAATGACTCATCAGTTCTGTAATCTGCAAGACAGAATTGAGCAACCTGTCAACAGTGGCTCTTTTACCTAAACCTGGTGAGGTACCTATGTAGGCAGCCTTCAAAGCATCAAAAGGTGCGCTTCCAAAACGAAGCCGGTTCAAAAGGTACGTAGCATGATTGTGTTGCCTTCTGTAACAAAAGCTCAGGCAGAGCGAAGTTATAGAACCCAAGTGCAACAGTTGGAAACGAACAAACTACAAAGCAAAAAGCCAAAAATATCAAACAACAAACAAGGAACCAGAATAACCCAAAGAATACACAATGATTCACCAAAGGGCCTACAATACAAGCACATACTGCAACACTTAAGTACAATGCTAGACAAGTATCTGTGACAAACACTAGAATGTTTGTGTGTATATGAATTACCTGAATGCAGCTATCCATTAGTATTAGCATTCATCTCAATGATAGATCTCAGAAGCACATGGCTTGCATGCTGCCATCTTTGTTCACAGGCACATTTTGGAGGTGCTGGGAAATTGCCATGCTGATTGGCTGATGGTACCACAAGAATGTGAAAAGGCCTTCACTAGTGACGGAAGAATGTACTTCATGCTTTTAAGGATCCATAATATGGGTACCAGTAAAATGTCTACTTTTATATAATGAAATGTTGCATTTTATTTTTATTTTGTCAGAACACAGTGCTGAATGGCCATCAGTGACAAAATATGATTTTGTCAGTGTAACGTTAGAATAGTTTACAGCATTTACCAGCAGGTGCTAAACTCTCAATGCTAAACTTTTGGTAGATATACACATACTAATGAGGGCAAACAAGGAAAAGGTGTAAATAAAGAAGACTACGCCAGAAACAAGGAAGCAAAATAGAACAATGAGATGCTTTCAAAATAAGAGCATGATGCAGCAGAGAACATAAAACACCAGGGGGCTGTTTCATAAAACAAGTTTACCAAATAAGCCAGGCTTATTTCAGTTAGTCTGACTTATTGTCACTTGATTTGGTTTCAGAAAGCAAATTTACCATAGCTCAAGCTCAGTCACCGTGGCAACTTATGCTGGGAAACTAACCTGAGGCCCGTTCTTCGTACGTTGCTAACTCAGTAAACTGGATATGATTGTTGATGATTTGGCATGATCTTGGATTGTTTGGTTCTTCGAAGCTCATCCCGGAGTTGCTGTCATAGCAACAGGTCCATAAGCTTAAACCTGCTCGGGAGCAGGCTTATTTCATGTAAACAGGATTAGATTGCATCTTTTTAGGCAGATTTGATACTTAAAGTCTGTCCCAACCACTGCTACTTTATTACAAGAGTATCCTACTGATCCAGGGACAATAATTAAAAATTATAATAATTTAAAAATTAATTTGAAAATAATGTAATAATGTTGTGTAGTCTATAATACTTTAGACACAGCCGGTTTTACTAATTGAAAGATTTATTAGTGATGAAATAATTACTTTATAATTGTATTAGAGTCTTACACACATGCTGTACAATTAATCTGAGTCGTGCATTAATATGAGTGGTGACAGCTATTATGGGAGTGGCTTGATGGAGC